GGGGGGGGGGCGGGCCCGCCCCCCCCCCCCCCGGACCTCGCCGCCGCCCCCCGCGTCGTGGCGGGGGGGACGGGCGGGACCGGTGCTCCCCGGCTGGCAGAGGTGCCCGAGCTGCGGAGCCAGGCACCGGCCCCTTCTGCCCATCCCAGCTTCGCTTGCCCCATCCCCGCCCGTGGAGCGAAACCCGCCTTTTCCCTCTTTTTGCCCTTAAAATGGGGACGCGCGGGGCGGGGTGGGTTTCCCAAAAGCCCCCGGCTCGGTCCCTCTCAGCTTTTCAAGGTGCCAAACTTTCTCCCCTTTCTCTTTCCAGAATGTGGAAGATCAACACTTATTAATGCATGACCAGACAGTCATTAGAAAAGGTCAGTAAGGTGGCACTGCAGTTTACTTTCCCTTGTCAATAGTTAAAGTTTACTGAGGCACCGGTGAATCGACGCCTTATCATCTTCATAGGAAAGGCAGATCCTTTCGGATCGGGAGGGCGGAGGCGGGTTTAGGACACTCTCTCCCTCGTGGGTTCTTCTAACGCCACCCGAGGGGAGGTGGCGGCGGGGACAGCGCCGGCCCCGTGTGCCGCGGGGCCAAGCCCCGGCCCGGCGGCGAGCGTCCTCCGGGGGCCACTGGCCCTCCCCGCACGGCCGAGTCCCTGCTCGTGCGCGTGGCTTTGGTGGAAACCAGGACCTGGGACCGAATTTACCGCTGCCCTGCAATACCTGTCTGTAAAGTGGCACGGGGCGGCTTTGTTGTTGTTGGGGTGTTTGCTTGCATGGGTTCTGTGCCGTTTCTCGCACTCGAAGACGGTTTGGGGTTTTTGTTTGGGTTTGGTTTCTTCCCTTCAACTTCTCTACAAGACTTGAGAAGGGAAGGAGTTCGCTGGCATGAGCCTGCTCGGCTTTATCTTAATCGAAATCGTTTTGTAGCTGAGGTTTTAAGGAAGGAGAAGGACGTATTGACTCAATTTACAGTCATTTAGGGTTCTTTCCCCCCTGCTTTTGTTTTTAAACAAATCTGTGCTTAACAAAAAATCAGTGGAAGTTTCCTCTGAAGACTTCAAACAAATACCTAGCTGAGGAAAAGCAGAAGTGTTTGTCAGAGCGCTGATTGCTGCGTTTAGCTCATGGGAGAATAATTTCGCTGTCAGATGCACCACTGAAAAATCTTTCCCCCTCCGGGGAGCGGGGCCGACCTCGGCTCTTTAACCCTTTCCCATCGGCGCTGGGAGCCAGCAGCACACCACTGGGGGTTAACTGGGTGGATTCGCAAGGGGATAGAAAAGCTGGATCTGTGGTTTGCTCCTTGCAAAGCCTTTGTTGGCCCATGTCACCTAAAGGCTGAAGCCATTAACGAGCAGTGTTTTACTTTCAGTTCTCTTGTGAGCTGCATCCCTCTCTGGCGTGCTGTCTGTTATGAATTTGTTGGGATTAAATTCCGAAGGCGGTTTCTTAAATCCGCGTGTGCGAGGTGGAAGATGAACCCCGGCGGGAGCTGGGAGGCTTCTCCTTGCCCCGGCTCGGGAAGAGTTTTTGGCAGCAGCTGAAGGATGCTAATCCGGAGTCTGTAGCTGTGTCGGGCTTTTTATAAGTACGGATCTGCTAACTTGAGGCGTGCTGCTTCAGAGATGTCTTCGTGCGGTTTTTTCAAACGTATTCGTACCTGCGCTCAGCAGCTCCGTGCAATTCGGCGTGGCAAAAAGCAGCTGCGGGGGAGCCTTTCTGGGGGAGCCGAGCCCCGCGCTGCGGACAGGTGGGGACGGGGGCAGTGGCCTGAGCGTTTAACACAAAACGAACTCCTGTCTCCTGGTCTTTTTTTGTAGAAAGTAAATTCACTTGCTGCTTCCTCTTTATTTTTCCCCTTTATAAAATACCTGCTTTCCCTCCTCCTCCCGCAGGTCCCATTTCCTTAACAAAAAACAGCGCTCTGAGTCTCCCCTGCCAAAAGGATGGATTAATTGGAGTGGTCATAAACCCCAATGAAGTATTTTGTTCTGTGCCGGGGAGGCTTTCCCTCCTGAGCTCCACGTCGAAATACAAAGTGACAGTAGCAGAGGTGCAGAGGCGGCTCTCGCCCCCCGAGTGTCTCAACGCCTCTCTGCTGGGAGGAGTGCTCAGAAGGTAGGCTGCAACTCCCCCTACAACCAGCCCCATCGGGCCTCTTCCTTGGCCTTTTCCTTGGGGTTTTTTTTTTTTTTTTTTTTTTTTTTCCCTGTGCTTGTGTATGTGTGTGAGCAGCCAGATGAGCACAACGAGGAGCTAAGAAAACCTTTTAGCAAATTTCTGATTTTTAAGAAGCCCAACAACACTGAATCCTAATAGGCTTTGGAAATAAAACTTCTTTGCACTTCTGCTGCTGCTCGAGAAGTGCTATTAACAGCTCTGACAGCAATTCTCATTCTCTGTTTAAAGGTGGATTTTTGTCTCAAAACCAGCTCATGGACCTCTCTTATTCCTCTAACAAACTGTTTCCCCATGGAATGATTTTTGGATTAAATCTCGCGGTCTTGATTAATCATTACAAGGACGCTTCATCTGTCCTTTTTTGCATATGCTTAATTCGGCTTGTGATCGTTCTACAGCTGTTGGTTTCGATGGTGCAGTTTGAAACATTTTGATTTTGACCTCTGCTGTGTTTCATCCCGGCTGGTTTGTAGTAAAGCATTTAAAAAGTAGGTCACTTCAAAAGAGCCTGTTTTTTATCTTCCCCCCAGTAGAACCCTATTGAATGTCAGTAACTGGAATTTCTCATCTTTAAAATGAAGAGTTCCCTGAAGATAAATAAGCCCCCTTTTTTTTTTTTTTCTCTCGTTAATTACAGAGCCAAATCTAAAAATGGTGGCAGATCATTAAGGGAAAAACTGGATAAAATTGGCTTGAATCTTCCCGCTGGTAGAAGGAAAGCTGCAAATGTGACGCTATTGACATCTTTGGTGGAAGGTCAGTCTTGAACGTGTCTTAAAAAGAAACTTTTTTTTTTTTCCCTTGTGTACAGCTTTTATCCTCTAGGCAAAGCATGGAAAGGCTAGAAAGTCAATGAACGTAATAGAGAGTGTGTTGTTTATTTTAAAGTGAGCATGATGGGAACGTTGCAGCAACTAACAGCTGGGTTGCCTTTGGGGGGCTCCTCTCCCCTTCTTCCTTCGAATCCAGTCTCTAAGCCCTTGGCCCCAGAGCCCTCCCCGCACAAACCCTGCCCGTACTCCTCTCCCTCACGGCTGCATCTCCAGGATGCTAGCAGGGATGCAGTAACTCCGCTGTTATTGCCAAGCTGTTCGAAACGCACGTTTGTCCGGTCTCTGTTTCTCGAGGGGGCTGGGTTGTTGGGGGTTTTGTAAGGGTGTGTGCAGGGAAGGCAAAAGGGGTGAAACTCATCACATCAGTGGGTTTGGTTCCCTATTGGGAAACTTAAACAAGTCCGGGGCAGCTGACTCCAATGCCTGGCCCTACCTCAGCGGTATCCTCAGAAGCTTTTCTAATAAACAAGCATATAAAGTGAGATTTATAGCTTCTGACTTCCTGATAGGAAACTGGAGCCCCTTTAATCTGTAACATGTTACGTGGACCCTCTGTCGGTTAAGCTGACTTGAAGGGGGTGTGCGTATATATATATGTGTGTGTGTGTATGTGCGTGGTTGTGTTTTGTGTTTCTGTTTAAAGCAGCTCCTGGTAGTGGTACAATGTAATAGGAATAGAAGCAGCAATTGAAAAGTGAAAAATGGTCTAACAATATACCTTACTGCTATTTCACTTCCACATCAGCTCAAATAATACAGCAACTTCCATTTAAAACCTTTCTTTGGAAGCTGGGTTTAAGAGAGCTTATGCGCACGTACATGCGCACATGTACGTTACAGGTAGCGCACTGATTGTGCCGATCCATTTTTTAAGCCTGATCAAATTGCCTGAATGAAAAAAAAGTGGTCTAGTTATACACCTTACGACTTTATTTTCTATACAAAAATGCTTATGAGAAAGTATTTAGAAAATATACTAAACTGATAAATCCTTTATTATGCAAGTGGAATTTAGTTGCCAGGTTTTTTAAATACGAGTGGACAATTTGATCTAGACTGAATTCTAGTCTTTGCTGCATAGTTAATCTGGGTAGAGATAGGAGGTTTTCTTTCTGGTATAAAGGCAAGAGAATTATATTTTGTAGCAGTCACCACATAGATTTTTCTTGATGCAAACTTACAAAGAAACACTGATCTATTAATTAGAAAATGGTATGGAGTGGTATAGCGGTAAAATAGCGGTGTCCCTTTCTAAAATAGAAAGGGAACGCTTCAAAAATTCACAGTACTTCGCTTAATTTCCCCGATCCCCTTATAATAAATGGATGTAACAACATTTAATACACATTCCCTTCTACCCACGCCAGGTGAAGCTGTACATCTTGCTCGTGACTTTGGTTATGTTTGTGAGACAGAGTTCCCTTCCAAAGCAGTGGCCGAATATTTAACGAGACCACACATGGGCCGCAATGAAATGGCGAACAGAAAGAATATGCTTCTTGCTGCAAAGTAAGTTTGGGGCTTCGATATTTTTTTTTTCCACCCTCTCCTTTTCAAAGATGCTTTTGTCTGACCATGACTATCTGTGACTGTGGACAGTTTGGTATTTTTTCATGTGTAATTTTAATTGGGGAGATGAAGCAATTATTTTTATTTGGTTTTGGTTTGAATTCAGCTATGGCAGCAGTTATTTTAGTCTGAACCAATAATACTGTAACAACAACCCTGTACGATAACTCTAAAGCAGTTTGGAGCAGTTCTGTTGTTTTTTCCTTTAACTGTAGTAAAAACTTCAGAAAAAGTCCTATAGCAGGACAGCTATATCTCTAATAAAAAGGTGTCCCTAGATCTGAGAGGGTTGAGGACCGGGAGGGCAGGTGTGGCCCAGGACCGTGAACCAGTGTTGGGACTGGGAGCAGGAGATGGTTCACCCACCTGCGTACGTGCAGTCCAGAGGGGCATCTCCAAGGAGAGCTACTGGTGGGCGCGCTGGGTGCGCGGGAAGCTGCGCTGCCGCGTCCTCCTCACTGCTTTTGGCAAAAGCAGCACACCGGTTTCCCCCACGGGACACTAGGAGTCAAGAACTGTGGGCAGTCCCTTTTCACTACTAGAGCTGCAGATTTTTCTAGTTCAGTGAAAGCCAACCTTTGGTAGATGTCAAAAATCCCTGTACTTAACTAAATTCCTGTTGCAAAGCTAGATGAAGAGGGAAGGAAGGGTAAAGGAGAGAAGCTTTGTTATGGCTGTTGTGCAGACGCTTGTACCTGTAAATAAACGGCGCACTGAACAGGTCTCTGGTAGGGAATACCTGTGCTGAGTTACGCTTCTCTTAAAGCAGTGGCTGGGGTGCTCGCTGTCCCCTACCCCCGCAGCCTTCCCAGGCTGAGGTTTAACAAAGCCTTCAGTTCATGATCCCTTCTGGTCCGAGATGTTTTCTGGTTTGGGGTTGGTGCAGTTCCTTGCTTTTGAAGGCATCCTTGCTCTGCAGAGGATCTGAGAAAAGCCTGCTTACTCTGCTGAGAAGAGTTGCCCTGACTTTGGGCTCAGATCAGGAATGCAAAACACACTTCTCCTGTTGCTGAATTAATACATCTTCCCCTGAAAAAGAGACGACCTTTCACAAAAATCTCTCAGAAATATAGTCTCTGTTTCCTATAGCTTGAACATAATGCTTTTTACTGAGCACTGCCCCTTCTGCCCTTCAGTATTATCATTATCGGTATTGTTATTAGCACTAGTAACAATCTTTTGGAAGATGTTTGTGATTGAGAAATTCTGATAAAGTGATGATTCTGCTGAGATTGCTCAGCCCCTGTGAAATCCCATCAAGGGGACAGATTTACGAGCAGCAAACAACATATGCTTGAGCATTATTAACCATTCATGTTTTGCCAGGCATATGTGTCAGTGTTTGCAGGATCAGGGCCTAGGTCTCTGTTAAAAGAGGGCATATACATGTAATATGTTCAACGCAATTGAATCTATTCAGCTGCTTTAGTCTTTCTAAATTACTTAACTGCAGCTGTGGAAGTTCTCATAGAAACTAGCCCTAAATTCCCACTCCCCCCTCAAAATCTAGAGCAAATGATGCAGAGCCAGCCAGATGCCAGAGGTGGAGAGATTATTTTGCAGAGTGTGTATGCGTTTTTGTGGCAGAGATATAACAGAAGGCTCATCAGAAACTGGTGTTAATAAATAGCCTTTAATTTTAGACAATCTTGCTGGTGGAGTAATGAATTTCTGAAAACTCTAATTCCCACATAGCTGCCAAATATTTGATGCGGACTTTCTCTGTTATTTATTTATTTGCTTTTGCATAAATTCCCACCATGGTGTAAAGTGTGATCACTTTGTGTCTTGCAGGCAGATTTGTAAGGAATTCACAGACCTCCTCACTCAGGACAGAACTCCTCTTGGAAACACGAGACCTAGTCCCATCTTGGACCCTGGCATCCAGGGCTGTTTGACTCATTTTAGCCTGATCACACATGGCTTTGGGAGTGCTGCCATCTGCGCTGCCATGACATCCGTCCAGAACTACCTAAATGAAGCATTAAAAATAGCAGACAAAACATACATGAACACTGGCGACCAGAGCCCTGCAGAAACCAACAAAACCATTGATAAAATGGATAAGCACAGGAAGTAAAAGGAGCGAAACCAGACTTTAAACTCTTCCTCCTAAATGCAGACTGGGATCTTCTTGCTGGGGGGAACATAGAGATTTGGGTTCTTTCTTTTTTTTTTTTTTTTTTTTTTTTTTTTAAAAAGGGGGGGGAAAAAAAAAAAAAAACTTTTTTTTTTAGGGTTCTAGATAGAGGGAAAAGGCCTAAAAAGTTAAATGAGAGGTGCTGTAACTGTCCCGTGGAGGGCTTTAAGTGTGCCGTTTCATGTTAATACCAAACTACCTGTAAAAACCACGGTCCGACGCTTGGGGGAGAAGATAAATTTGTGGTTTTTTTTTTTTTTTTTTTTTTTTTTTTTTTTAAGAAAGGAGGGGAAAAAAGGAAAAAAAATCATCTTATTCAGGATCATCACTCCCCCTGGATCCATGAGACAAGTCTTTCTAAAAGCTGCAGTACCCCTTATCTGTGGAAGCAATTACAAGAAGATAAGTACTTGGTACAAGCGTATTGAAATCCTTTGCTGTAAAAGTGGTGCTATAAAGGGTTTTTGATGGAAATTTACAAAGAGATATATTTAGATTCCTTTTCCACATCTAAGTATCTAGTGGTGACCAGCTTCGTGTGTAGTTTTTAAGATACAGATTTTAGATGGAAGCCTATTTGTTATCTGATACAATTTCAGGGTTTTATTCTCTCTAAATGCAACAGTAACAATAAAGCAGTATTAAACAATGGTATATAGATTTATGTACATTAAAATTTTTTATAAACACCCAAAAATAGTAAGATTATTCTGTGGGTTGGTTGTTTTGTTTTATGTTGTTGTTTTTTCCCTTTATTTTCAGATTACCATAGGAGAGTACTAAAATCCTGCTAGACTTAAACGTTTTCTGATGGCATTTGACATGCTTATTTTTATGGAAATATTCAGGCTTTTAAAAACTGCAGTAATGTTGGCTGCAGAGGATATTATCTTGATATTTTTTTAACAAGGAATAGTTCAAAATGAAAATGCTTTTAGAAAGTTCACTTTCTGTATCTACGGATATTGCAGCTTTATTTGCATATTTATATTGTCTTGTTTTTAAATTGGGGGGGGGAAACTTGAAAGAATAGGCGCACATAACTTTTTTTTTTTTTTTTTTTGCCTATTGAGGCCAAAAAATATTTCCAGGGAGGCTTTATGTGTATTAAGGGAAGCAGTGTGTTGAATGTAAATATTTATTTATGTGTAATTTAATCGGATTTGTAAATAATGGTGAACTTTTTAATACCTTTTTTTTTTTTTTTTTTTTTTTTTTTTTTTTTAAAATTGGTTTTAATTTTTTTTTTTGGGATGAGTGTGTGCAACTAGTTCTCCAAAGAAAGCGGGTGAGAATGTGTGCAAATGAGCTGAAGCATTGAGCTACAGTCTTTAGTGGAAAGAGCTTAGAGTTGAGAAACCCTGATGCAAGTCCCAGGTGGCCACTGAGAGAAATGACCAGTGGAGGGGGGCGCAGAGGGGCCAAGGATGATGATGGGACACAGGACAAAGATGGGCTGTACAGTGAATGACCAATTTTTTTTTGGTTTTTTAATAAAAGTTGAGTTTTTTTTTATTTTTTTTTTTTTTTTTTTTTTTTTTTTTTTTTTTACAAATGGGTTTCAAATTTTAATTTTGGTAAGTATTTCAAAGGTAATGGGTAAGCTAAACATCTTTAGGTTTATGCACAGGTATGTTATACAGGGTATTTAAGACGTGTTTTTTTTTTTTAAATATCTCAATTCTTGCCACTGAAGATTAAATCTAATCTGAGGTGTATGTTCACAAAGCAATAATTTTGTGCATCATCCACCTGATAACTGACTAGACATGCAAAATGAGTGTGTGAGTTAGTGTGTATGTGAATAATGGAGGTTCTGAACTATCTTTACATATTTGTAAATGTTCCCAATATAATTCTGATGTATATGATAACCATATAATAAAAGTATTCTGGATAGAAGCATGGAATGTTTTGTTAACTGAAACCAGTTTTGTTTTCTTTCTATACTTTGGGAATGTGGGGCGAGTAGCACTAGAGGACATTATGTATTGAGTCATAATTGCAGCACTTTGTTCGGATTAATAGAACAGAAATATGAAGCTGTTTGCCAGTAAAACTAATGGTTTCAATTAAACACATTATGTATCTCCAAGAATCTTTTTTTTTTTTTTTTTTCTTCCTAAGATGTCATTATCATGCTGGCTGCCTATTTAAATAGGCAGCTTAAACACACTGCAAGACTTCCTCTAAATAAAAATCAGTCCTACCAGCTTTGTTTTCTAGTGAATCTGACTTTATTAGAATAATCTGTCTCTAATGACATATATTTGCAAAGTCCTGGTGTGTGAAATTTGATAGGTCTCCCATCTGGTTTCAGCCCAATTTTACCGATTTGAGGAAGTTTACAGCAGTTTGCAGAAAGTCCCCGCAGTGCTCGGCGCAGTAGTGGCGAGGCAGGATCCGAGGCTTTCGGTGGCATTCAGTCTCTTGGAGGCAAAATAACCAAACCTTCCTGAAAAAAAACTCAGTCCTTTTTCAGTGCTTTCTAAAACAGGACCAACATGAACCTGGGCTTTATTCTGTCCTTGGCGTTTCACCGCCTGATCAATCTGTCAGGTGTGTGGCTAGGGCAAGCATTATAATGATGACACTGGACATAAGTGTGAGTAAGAATTTGGTTCACGTCATGGTAGTGTGTTTCTTCACGTATGTGGAGAAGAGGCAACATGCACAATTTCTGAATACTTTGTTTATAAGTTCCTTTTATGCTCTCATTTTTCCTCTAAAGGGTAAAGGCAAACCACTGAAGGTGTGCAGGGAGAAGAAAGGAAAGGGAAGCTCAAAGAGATGAATGAATGGATCAGTGGTGAGCTGGGAGAAAGCTGGGTTTTGAGTTGCAGTCCAGTCCCCTTCTCTCCTAAAGAGGTGTGAAATTCCAGTCTTTACATTTGTTAGGCTCCTGGCACTTGAGAAATAAGTATTTTGGACCATCTGTAGACACAAGCACAGTGAGGACATGTGTCAACTAACAGAACTTCTAAAATATACTGACAATATACCATTCTGATAATATATTTTTATTGATTATATTTGTATATACACACAGAAATATGCTAGGTATGGTAAGAGCCTGTTTAGAGAATGTGATGCTGGACTTCAGGGTTTTTCTTCTGTTTCTGCTGCTGGCCTGCTTATACAGCATATATAGTAAGGTATTTTAGCTGCCAGACAATGGAATCTTGCTTTTTATTAATGCACAAAACCAGGCTCTGAAATAATTGCCCCTTGGGATAGGAAATAAGGATGTTTCCATTTATTCCTGCGTGCATTCAAGCAAAGCCAGTCAATTGTCTAATGTACTGACTTGCGTTCTATTTATATGTTTAGAACATTAGAAATGTTGAGTTTCCATTACCTTAATGCTTTTCCTCTACTGTATGTTTTAGATGGTACATTATTTTGAGGCTCAACTACCTTATAAGCTGCGCCAGTAATACGAAACAAGAACAACGTCTTCAGCTCCGTTCACTGAAGAGAACAGTTAAACTCTGACCTGAACCTGTCTGTCATCTGAAATTATTAATCTTAAGGAAAATGTTAATAGGTTAGTAACTTCTTGGGAAATATCAAAAACACAGAGTTATCTGAACACACAGGAAGGTATTAGGTTTTTCCCGATCCTTAAGATTTTATGCTTTTTACTGCTTTTACATAGGCTATTCCCAGGCTGGCTAAAAGAAAAACTTCTAATGTAAGACTCCTGAAGTTCCACTTTTCGTTTTCTTTGAAAATGGAATATTCAAAATTATCGTCCCTTGCCCTTCTCCCAGAAAAATAACAGGTTTTGTCTTCTTATAAGGGAAAATTACTTTAAACTATTAGGAATTAAAATTCTGAAGTTGAAACGGACCATTTTAAGTATTGCCCTTCTGCAAAAATGTTATTTGATACATACCCACAAAATAGTTGAATTCATGTCACTCGGTATAAAAACGACTTGTGGAAAAAAAAATACGTCAACCGTCTTTCGCTTGGCCATCGGCAGCAGCTGGGCATCCGAGGATGCTGGGGTCTTCCCAGGCAGTGCCAGAGCCAGGGCAGGCAGCAATGCTGCTCGCTTCCACCTGCGGCAGCTGAGGGCACGGCCTCTGCCACCCCATCGCCTGACGGGCAACCCGCTTGTTACAGATGATTAATTGCAAACCTGATGATTATTCAAAGTCCCAGCTCATGAAATCATCTGACTTCATGGAAGTGTTGCCTTCAGTTTAAAAAGAATTTTTTGTTCACAGCTTTAGAGAGAAATAATGATGCAAAACTAGTGATATATAGGAAAACAAGGAAAGAGACTGAACTGTCTTAATTTAGTAACTGACTTCAGTTCATTTTTGACTCTCAGTTTTTGCTTTACCCTTCACTTCTTTCACTGTTATTCACAAATGGTTCGTCTCACCCTGTCTCTTCTGGCTGCAGCCCTACTGCTGTCTGTTCCTCTGCTTCCTCAGACTTTTGCAATATGAATAAACCCAGCAATACATCTTGAAATGGGTTTAACTTGCTATGATAGCCCGCTGTGCTTATTTGTTGCAGCCCTTTCTTCTCTATTTTTTCCTGCGTGTAATGCTTATGTACATCCTTGTAGTTATTTTGGCCTAATGGTGTACAGCCTCGGTCCTGGCAGTGGGCTTGGGCTGCCTTCTGGGGCGTGTTCTGCAATAAAAGCTTCATTTTGGTTTTTAAATTTTTTTTTTTTTTTTAAGGAAAAAAATAGGGTGCTGTTAAGATTTTGTCCCAAAACTGTTACTTCACTAAAAGAACATTACAGGGTTAGGGACAAAGATGCTTCCGTCTCACTAAAAGAATCTCCGAAGTATAACATGTTTCTGTTCATTGACGTTTACAGGTTTTTGTGCGGGGAACCTGGAGCCAGTTTTGCCGAGCGCTCTGGGGTCCCTTGGGATTGTGACCCCAGGCCTGGTGGTGAGCCACAGGAAATG